TCCATTATCTGGGCTTGGGACCAGCAGTAGCCCCCAAAGGGACTGCAGGTGGAGTAACCTAGGTCATCTGCGAATTTCAAATCGTCTAGTTGCATGTAAGCTGTACAGTGTATTCTATGCTTCCCCTCTGATGTCGAGGTCTTCATATTTCAGTCGACCACCAGAAAAAAAGAAAGGCTGAGAATAAGCAGCCTTGTCTGACTCTAGTCCTCACTTGGGATGGATCTATCAGATACCCTCCATGAACGACTTCGCAGTGTAGTCCGTTTTATGAATTCCGTATGATATTTACGATCTTCACAGGTACACCATAATGTCGAAGAGAGTTCCACAAGGTCATCCTATCCATACTGTCAAACACTTCCTCAGAGTCAATGAAGTTGATGTATAGTGACGAGTTCCACTCAGCTGATTGTTCAACGGTGATCCATAGTATCGCACTTTGTCAGTGCACGATCGATCCTTATGGAATCCGGTCTGTTGATCTCGAAGTTGGACATCTACTGAATCTTCCATCCGGTTTAGCAACACTCTTTTGAAAACTTTTGCTGGTACTGATAGTAGAGTCACGACTTTGTAGTCCTCACATTTGCTCAGATCTCCTTCCTTTGGTATCTTGATGAGGTATCCTTCTCTCCAGTTTGTCGACACTTGTTCGTCCTCCCAAATCTTGTTAAATAGAACGTAGAGCATGTTTGCAGTTGCTACTAAATCTCACTTCAGTGCTTCGGCTAGTACGTTGTCAGATCCTGTTGTCTTCCGACTCTTGACTTGTCTGATGGCCATCCTGATTTCTTCGACCGTTGGCAGAGTGACATCTACAGGATGGTCTGTGCGTGCCGGTTTGATTTGCAGTTGGTTCAGTGGATATTATAGTAAACTTTGGTAATCATCAGTTTTACAAAGGTTTAGAAGATGTGGATAGCGTATCCGTCTCATAAAAAGCTGTTGCAGAATACTCACTACCAAGGGTTAACTAACATATTACGTACATTAAGACGACTAATATCTGTTTAAAACTTTTATTCAGACTGTTTATGCACATAGAATATGTATGTCCATACAGTGTTGCCTTACATAACATAAATATACATGATTTCAACCGCGACCCGACGGCTGTAATGTAACATATGGCCAATCAGTGTTAAAGTAACTGTTTAATATTATTAAGCATGATAAATATAATACAAAACTACCTAGTGCAACCATGAGACTACCCTGAGTTACTTCAGGAGTTATTTAATTATTTATCACTAATTAATTATCATATCAACATAAATCGAAGAGAATCTGGATCAAATATGCCGTATTACTGAGTTAGCATACCTTTGTATGTTTAGTTGATATAGATCCATACCTTTGTAAGCCAAATAGATAGAGTTTACATGACGAACAACCTAGACAAAATTTTAGTTTGCAGCAAATTTTGATGTTCAATCTTAACATAAACTTCTGATATTCGTACTTTCTATTTGATCATGGAACTCAGCAATAAAGAATTATGCACAAAGCGGTCAAATAGCAAAAAACTGCTGAGGATAGTTTGTAGAGAATAAACGGGAGATGAACAGCTGATCGAGTCTTACCTTTGTTAGGTGCACAATTTAAATGCTGTCAATGCTTGTTAAAGAACCGTGACAGCCGATTTTAATCTTAGGTAATTAGTTTTTTATCTATTGAGCTAGTTATTTAGGTCCCATCACTATGAGACTTAATAACACGATGAGCTTTTTTAGTCGGTTTCACCAATGGGATACTGATGTCTATGTCTGTACTAACTGCATTTATCCTTGCTACTAGAATAATAGACACAGTCGCTAATTATATACTTGACTTGATATGACAACCCAATCTTTAAGATCTTACGTGTTCATTCTGACTAGTCCTATAGTATGAGTCAGTAATATACTGAAGAACATATTTAAGCCCGTGACAGAATAGTATATCTAATGTGAAAAAGAAAACGCTACATAAAGTGACTACGCATGCCTGCCTGAATCATTCTGTACGGAATAAGCGTTCCTGGCTTCACCATTTCGGATTTTCTCCGTGTTAAATTTCGAAAGTGAATCTTCTTACTGATCTTATTTTCGGCTCCAATGATCGTAGGTTTGAGAAACAATTTTTCTACAGCACAAGCGTCAGTAAGAGTTGTCTATTTTTCGAAATGGACTTTCTGAGGTTTTTTGGATCATCTGAGATAATTTCGAATGCCAGGAAAACTGGTGCGATCATTACGGAGCTCTTTAATTTTTAGTCAACCGATATCTTTTTTCAGAGGACAAACGTCGTCGCTGAGGGTTATGGGGATTTCCAGAATCTGGTCTGCAGACACAGCTATTTATTTCACGTCGTTATTTTGGAATGGAACAAAAAGGCCCTCATTGGATTGTCGTAGCCCAATAACTTCTGAAATATGAATCACCAACTTTATTGTCAAGCCGTGTTGCAACTAGGCATTATGGAACAGCTGTTCTAACCTTTGTCGATCACTTAAAGGAAATAATATATTTTTACAAGGGCAGGTACATGCCATTTTTACAGGCATGATCTACAAATTACAACATTTATTGGTTTACAGTATGTATGCTAAATAAACATAGTCTATAAATGTGAATACCAGTTCATTCTTTCAGATAGATCTATTTCTCAGTGCCATGAGTTTCAGAAATACCGCTAGCAAGCATACCGTCTTTGACTAGTCCGTTGAACTTGAGTAGTGGTGCCTTCAATACTGTGACAAATTGTACACGTGATTCTGCTGCTCCGAGCCTGTCGAAGTCCATTTCTCTATGGCAGGACCAAACTCCCATATTATCAGGCCAGAGCGAGATGAGTAAAAAGGTAAGGATTAAGAATTCTAACTTCCAAATATTTCGATGTCTATTTTAACATAATATTGATAAAACATATACATATGCAAAAACCTCGGGCAACAAAAATAGTGTCACGATATGTAAATATATATATATATAACGCTGCAAAAGGGAATGGTCCCACATTTTGTTTTTTGGCGAACCAGACCGTACCAAGCTCACCACTAAACTTGTTGAGGCTTTTCAGGGTTCGACAACGCTTTTGTCTGCAGCACCTCTATAATCAGGGGTCCGAAACCCTGTCAAATCAAGCGAGGAATGAGGGGCACGAAGATACATGTAGAAAATAGTCGATTTGTCGAGAAGAATACCGTCTAAACTGACTAGTTGTTGTAAGAGATGAGTAGCACGATCCGTTGAGAGTGCCTCGCTGAGCGCTTTCAACCCTGGGTGTCCAGTAAAACTAGTGAGGTCAGCATCAATGTCTAAGAACTAAGGGATTTACCGCAACATAATTATTTTCAGACTGAATTAGGTTTGACAACTTATCTGTCGTCATTATTTTTGTCACATATTATTATTGCTATTTTTCCATTAATACTAACCTACCCTACAAATTTCACTACTAGTTACCTCCGTTTACGTTTATTCCTACATTCTTTTTTATTTTTTTCGTTTGGTCAAATAACTTTCTCCTGACCTTCGGCATTTTCTCTGCTCCTCTGAATCCTTATGTTGCAAATTCAATATTGCAACCAGTCAATCAGTTGTCTCAAAACGTAATGACTGGTGGCTCTAGAAAGCCAACTACCCTAGGACAAATTCATTTACATGTACTCAGAATATACCAACTCACAAAAAAATAAAAGGTTTACTGAGACTGGAGGAGTTGAAAGGCTATTATACTCTCAGTAGATGGTACGAAAGTCATGAAACTATACCGTATCACCAATAAACGAGCACGAAGAAGTCACCTAGATTACAACGGCTGGTCAAAATGATGTCGGATATAGAACAAGAAACAGATAATAAATCCTTAAATTTTGAATCGTGAACAGTTAAGTTTACGAACGTATCACGAATAAACAGGAAAGACCCCGTTGTGACTTTTTGATCATTTTCGGACACCCAGTTATAACGTTATTATTGTATTTTATGCATACACGTCTACCTTCATTTTGGTGTATTTCTCTTTGGCCATTTACACATATGTGGGCTTGCTAATTATTTACCATAAACTTTGAACGCTTTTTAGTAGCTGTATGTCTGGCTCCTGATAGATCGCTTCTCACTGTTATCAATATATATATATATATATATATATCGCCAATTCCCGTACATAATCATCGACCTACATCGCATCGGTGAACAACGGAATCAAATAAGTTAAATAGGAAAATGAGATATTGAGTACGTATATTTTTTATAATCACTGTTAAGAACGGATAATCGGAGAGACGGGCCGAAGAGAAACAGATTGGAGAAGGCGTGTGAGCCAACCAGATTTAGTTAAGCGTTAGTGGATATTGATGGTCAGACAAAGATAAATTAAGGGCATGTGATGGGTCAGATAAGAAATGCACAAATATACGCATACAAAAAAGCAGTCAAGGCTGATAGGTGAATGAGTGACTAGGTGTGATTTAGGAAGAGTGAATAGATTGGTCTGTTCAGAAAATAGAATAACCTATGTGGGCTCGACATAGGGCCAACCACCACAATTTTCCTGTTTTCTGAACTTATGTAGACCTGTCGTATATACTTTAGTCACCTACGATTCTTAGACTATCCCTTTCCATCAGGATTAGCCTACCCACTACTCACTGGCTAGGCATTAACAGCTCCTCTTGACTGCAGTTCAATATTCACTAGCTGAGCTTGTCCGTTCACATGATGTCTGAAATATGTATGTCCCAGACGCGACCCGTAATAACGTGATAGGTAGACGGGAGATACATGAAGCTAAGCAGTATACATGTTTCAGTACAACCATAACCATTCGATAGTGATGGAGTCAACTACAATTACTTGGTATATTATATATTCAGTGTTATAAAATTTTCTGTGTGTTTCATACAAATGAGTGAATACTCACGAATAAAGACTCCAAATCAAACGAAGCTTCACATTATCAAAGTAAATGAGAACTTGTTTAGCTGGGCCAATGTTTTCTATGAATGCACTCATAAAAGTCCGATAGTTTGACTTGCTTTTTTGTGTTTATTATTTTTTCGTTTTCCGTAGAGCAGTCTTGACTGTTTCACTTCCATCCATATTTGCTAAACCTCAATAACATGTGTACATTATTCACCGTTTAATAACAAAGTTTTTAGTACTCTATTAGGACGATTATTATTTCCATGTAAATAATGCATTAAAGCCATTGTGTGAAACATAAAACGCAAATTCACTATACAGTAAGGCATCCAACTAACAAAACCGTTCAGATAACCTAGCAATACTCGACTGAATAGTGAGCTAAAATAAAGTTGCAACGTGTTTACTTCCTTGTAAATCTTATCTTAATAGCTTAATGTAAAGCTAAATAATTTGCATTAGTTATCGGTAATAACATTGCAATAATTTTTTATCGTTATATCATTTTGTGTTTATTTCCGGATACGCAAATGATAGTCTGTTAATCTTCAAAAGCATTCAGAATCGGAATTTATGAGACGTAAATACATTTTATTGTATACTTTTAATATCTGTTTGACTGTTTACCTGTCACTGTAGAATGTTTTTATGGCTAGTGGTATTCCACACAATTTTAACATCATTTACTATCAGACGTATTATTTCAGAGACCTAGCATGGTGTGAAAATTTGAAACACAGATATATTCACTGAGAACCTAGGAATGTCGAATGTTTAATGTTTCCTTTCAATTTCATAGCCATCCATTGTATACACCGATAAATCTTTCCGGCTTCTTCTACTGGCATGCATACAAGACTTGTAATTATAGCTGCTGCCATTGATTTTACAAAATGAAGGACACCTTTGGAAAAATCGTGGCTCGAATACTAGATACTGAAATATCTAAAACATGTAACAGGTGCCTATACCGGAAATAAAGTGGAATTTTTTCAAACTGGTCGAAATGAGTTTGGGTTTTATGTAACCAATTGTTGGACGATTACATTTTTTAATTTTTAAAATTGATTCTGCGGCTCAATCCAAGTAAACAGATGGGCAGCATTATTCTGATACACTATTTCAAGTATGTCTGTAAGTAATTAGGTTTCAGAATATTAGATGACAAATTATCTGTTCTGTTGAGTTAAAAAGAAAATCAAACCAGTATATTGTATGTCTGTTGCTCTCAACTCAAATCCTCAGTCGGCTTGTCAAAGCACTGTTGTCCACTTTGCTGTATGAAATTATGACTAGTATTTTCCAACCTTCGTGCTTAAGATAAGTCTATATGTTTCTTAAAACAATTTCGCAAATTGCCAGACGAACAGATTATTCAGTTTGTTTTTAAGTATTTTAGGTGTTTTATAATGTTTATCACTGAGGTAAATCACATCAGTATATTTATTTTGTTAAACGACAAATATTCTCCATTCGTCTGATTGTTTTTAATTTCAGCTGGCAAAAATATGGAACACTACACACTGCTTCCACTAATAATCATTGTGTGTTTATGCCAAAGATTGGAAACATCTTTTTACCTTAGAACAAAAAATATTTGCAGTAGTCGTGACAAAGTTTCCATTATCGGTGGGGAACAAAGACGCTTAGTTACAGAAGGAGGTCGGGTAACACTAATATGTTGTGTACCAGGTAAAAGTAATGGTCATGATCATGAGCAACTTGTATGGAATAGCCCGGATGGAAAAGAATTAGCAAACTATTTTTCTAACCCAATATCTGATAATCAACACACTGCATATTCTGTGCCTGATTTTCACTCAAAAGATCACTTGGTATGTTTTCCATTATTTTGTGCCAAACTATCTGTTTTTATATATTTTGAGATGTAATGTATAACATTTTCACCTAATTAGCACGCCGATTAGCCAAACAGGTTGCTCTGACAATGTAAGTTACAGGTTAAACCGGTCGTATGAAAACATTACAACTGATTTCCAGAAGTTAGCGATCACTAGAACTTTTAACTTCGTAACCCAATCTGATAAGAGACGATGATGGAGGATTAAAAACATGATAATTATGTTGGCTGGATTTGTGCTTTATTGCTCATGAATAATACACCGTTTTCTAGTATACACTCAAAACACGTTGGTTTAAATGTATATTATTATTGCCGTCATTAGAAATGCTTCTAAAGTAAGATAGCTAGTGATTATAACTCACAGAGCTTAGTAAAATTTAATTTTATGAGTTAGTTCTCCCTGAATGTAACACAACTGTTCAGTTTTAGATAATTTCTCATCACCAGCGCAGATAAGTTTCTGCTAATGATTACAAACAGCTCCAGGATATAGCGTTGATTTTCAGAAGGATCTTCTTGTAAGGAAACTATTTGATACAGAACTTTTGAGACAGTAGTACATCCAAGTACTTACCCTGGACAACATCTCAGTGTATATTTTTCCAATTTATTTCGCCATACCTAATATCATGAAGTGTGGTTATATCAACACATTCGTGTGTTTAAGTAACAGGATACTTGGAAAATACTCACCCATAGAGTATTATCATTACAGCTGTGATAAGACTTGATGGAATTCTCTAGTCTTAAAGCACTCATCACACTTCATCACAACTTAACACGAGTTGCAGGGTGAAAAACTACTTAAAATGTGATTCTACATCAAAAGCCACGATGAAGAAAAATTGCTGAGTCACCGAAGTTCTTTATTTGATAAACTTACCTAGTTGAAACAACCAAAACGGGAACTTTTTAATCCTTTTGGGCATGAAATTGTCTTTGCAGCTTCATTTTAGGTGCTAAAGTACATTAGTCTGGAAAGCGTAGAGAAGATTTAATGTCTACAATTCCGACTGAGTTGGTAGCAAGAATGTCAACCACTCGAATTCATTAACTAACCTTGAAATAAAGGCAAACTGAAACTCCTTTTTCTTTTATGAAGTGATAATTACCATGATGTTTGATTTTATTATTCACAAGAACGCTATTGTTGACATTTTATTTCGTGGTTTATGTCTTTATTTTATCACTCAGCTTATTTATTTATTTAGAACTGTATTTTGTATGACATGAATTTTCCTCATCGAAAAATCTCTCCCTATAAACTTGTCAGCTTTCTCTTTTTGTAGCTTGTTTGCATATTTGCACTATATTTAGTCAACCCTATAAATAGTCCTTTTTTCGCTTTCACCAATTTTGGCAATTCTATGTCAATGTTGTCTCCGAAACCATTCAGTAGTTTTTCACAAACATTGCGAAATTTTATACATTTATTTCAATAACTCAAATTATTTGATAGGTTTGTTTTGTTAGTTTAATTTTACTGCAGTGAAGTAGTCTTTTATTACGTGGATCATGATGATATGCATGTGAGATTCCCTTATAATATAAACAATCATGTTTCGATTACTCGGTGTTCTACCATTTGAAATGACTTTTCTTTTTTTATTCAGATAACTATGATGGTTATTCAGAAATTCCAAGCCAAAGATAGTGGCCAGTATACATGTCGAAATACACACCCTAGTTCTACAGCCCTTCCAGCTAGTGTCTTTATAGATGTCAGACCTAGGCTTTTGGCAGACTTCATTCCATTACCCCCATCTAATGTAGAGGATTCTGGTTCAGCAGTTGTGGCTGGTGTTGCAGTGTCTGTCGCTCTTGAAGAAGGACGAAGAGGAGAAATAAAATGCCGAGTTAACTCACAACTTAATCTCGATAGTGTTCAACTTACGTGGTTTTTTCAGGGTCGTCAACTGATTACGCCGTCCATCGTAATGAAACAAATAGGACAAAAGAATTTGTTTAAAGTCAATAACACTAGCCTTGAGAACCCTCTTACTGAAATTGAAAATCCTGATATTTTCCCACCATCCTCACATGAAAGAAGTTTTGCATCAGGGTCAAACCAACTGTTTACCGAGCAACTAAACCGCCCTGTTGCCCTTGATCCTGAAGAATTGGGTATACAAATTTCTCAGAATGGACAAGTAAATGCTAGTTATACTTTTTACGCGTACCTGTATATTCTTGCACTTTTTGTAATGCGCTGATTTTTTGTTTTGTTTGTTTCTTATCACTGTCCCTCCTTATTGGTCTTTCATAAACTTGACTGACTCATGTAGTCAATTTCCAAATTACATTAAATCTAGTTCCAGCAACAAGGTTCATGAGTACACATTCTTTGTTGTGCATGACTCAGGAGTCGTTTCGTCTTTTTGTATTAAATGAAGGCACAAAACAAGATTGAAGAAGACGGTGAATTCGGGGTTAGTGGTACGAGAAATCCAGTTTTATCAATGTGAACCTTGACAACTAACATGTTTCATTACTCAAATCATATTACTTACTGTCAACAAGTAGTACGTGGTATGTTTGATAAATATTTCCCTTCCTTTCATAATTCATCCCTAAACATAGTAATGTTTCGATCTTTGAACTTTGTGTCCGGAACTGCAGTTTCGGATTAAAGAATCTAGTTAAGCCAATTATAAAAAAACAATATGAATTTCTATGTTTTCTAGATATTACGATTCCACTGTGAATCACGACAACAATATATTCGTAGTTTTAGGGCATGTTGTTTACCACTAATACTGAGGTTAACCTTAACGGGTAAAAATTTCCATGTACGGATGATAGCTAGTTTAAGATTCGGGAGATAATATTTACTGATGAAATCCCTGAATTATACACAATTTTTCAAATGCAATAAGATTGACCTGTCAACTTACTACACTCAGTTGTCAAGTTGTACGTTCAGTTTCATATACGAACGTTGTTTTCAACACAGACTAACATGAGATGGATAACATTTTGAAAACAAGAAAGACCAAGTAGCTGTTTTGTTCTAATTGAAATATTGAGGTGGTGAACAACATTCCCCTCGCAGAGTTGTCTTTCCAGTACTATAAGATCTCCAACAATGAACTGAAGTAATGATACTACAAACTATTTACATAATACATATACACAGCTTTCAATCTTCCATTTGCATCTTCCGATGTGTTCTGCAATCTGAACCGTCTTCTCGTTTATTCTGCGCGTGTTATGCTGATGCCGTGCTTTCAATGCTCCAAAACTCTTCACTCCGTCCAACGATTGCTTCAAGTTTCGATGCCACGTTCCGCTACACACTACTTACAAACTAACCTTTGAGTAGCGTTTACTAAGCTTGGCCCCCTATCGATTGTATTCCTTCATTACAATACTAAACATGCTTTCTAAATTCCATTAATCGTAATGTGGGCAGACAGACATCCACTATTTTTGGTACATAGTACTCCCTCACTCCATATATGTCCTTCCAGATAATGTTAATCCATAGTGGAACTGATCTCTTTCCAATTTAAACTATCCTGAACGACTATCAAGTTTTATTCGTTCAATATTTCACTTAGCATATTTTGGTGTTGTGTTGCCTGAGCTAGATGGTTTAATTGTCAGTCTTTCATTGATGTTCTCCTCAACATCATAAGTGCTTACTTAGTTTAGAAGCTATCTTTTCGGTTATTCCACAGGAGTTGAATAGATTCATTCTGGTCTTGTTTCTGGTTGGTTGTCATAATAGGTTATGTTGTTTTTGTTTGTATTTTCATTACTTTTAACGTCCCTTCTGATTATGTGACTGATAGACTTTTTCTGTATGGACTGATAGATTGGTTCTATTTCAACATGTTTAGTTTGGAGAATACACAACCACCAAAAGCATCTATTTAAGCTACAAACCTTCATCATTCTACTTAATTTATATGACGTGACTTCAGTAAGAAAACCATCGGAAACCATAGAGCATTGAGTAGCTGTTTCATCGTCTTGTGTGACTCATTAACAGTGTTTTCAATAAAGGATTAAAAGCAGGACGTATCGAGGCGAGTGCTTAAACTTTATCCTGGTCATTCATGTGTCCAACTTCAGTCAGTTGTTGATGTGATATCATCGATTTCTAGGGCTGATATTTGTTTCACTCCTGACATGATTATATTCTACTGGTCACGGTTTATCATTAAAGTTTCAAGAATACTTCTTGAAGTTAGTCGCTGGTAAGCACATAGTCATAAGAGTGCTACCTGGTTTTCAGTGGTTGTTTAGCTGAAGTTATTTCGTGATACAAACTACAAACAAATATTCTATACTAGTTTCTAATGATGTTTTCTCCTTTTTGATAAGCTCTATGTATCTATTTCAGAAGTGTAGAATTTACTCTTTTTTGAAGACCATGTATATTACATTAGATATAATTATACATTGTAGTGTTAGAACTCATAATGATATCAATCTATCGACATAGAATCTTGTTAAGTATACATTCAAGCTTCAACTGAAAAATAATAAACATCAGTTGAAACATATGCTGGCTTTTCGACCCCTTGACAAGATTTATAAAACTACAATAAGCAATACATTTGAAACAATCTTGAAATATCTTTTCAAATATAACAAGACGTCGATGGATGTTAGTGATTGGCATCCCATCATCCTCGCAGATTGTTTCGCTCACACCAGACTTCTTGCTGCCAGTGGCTCGGATGAGTTGGAAGAGCCTCCGGTAGTTTGAGAATATTTGTGCATTATAACGCAATCGTTAAGAAAGGTAATCTTCGCATTCAAACTTGCGGAAGTGAATGCGAAGATTACCTTTCTTCCGATAGTTACCAGATGCAGCTGCTGCTTCCAGCTCATTAGCATACTCCGACCACCAGGCTTCTCGGTCCTTACGCAAGCCTTACCCGATTTCCTTACGTAACATCCTTTGTTTGTGGTCAAACTCACGGTCACCCGGAGTAGACCGGCGGGCTTCAATGAGTTGTAAGGAACCTGAAGAAACCCAGTGCTTAAAAGCGGGACGTTTCGTGAACCCACAACTGACTTTACTCGCCATTTTCATGGCGTCATGAAATTGCAACCAATGCTCATCCATACTTTTCGGTGGAATGGTAGCTAGCCTAGAAACTAGCTCGGTTCGATACTTACTAGCGACAGAAGTTGCAACCAGCTTGCTAATATCAATCCGTTGATGGCAGTCACTTCTTTGTCCACTGAAAGTAAGTTAAGATTGGCGCACACCAAAGCATGATCAGAGTCCAGATAGGTACTCGAAAAGGAGCGGCAGTCTTGTACACAACCACGCCAGCGGTAGCTGATCGCGATGTGATCAATCTGAGTCAAGGCTTGGGAAGCAGAGGGAGGACGCCAGGTGGCACATCGGTGATGACTGTGCCGAAAGTTAGTGCTAGCCAGAAACAGGTTGTGGTCTGTGCACAGTTGCAGTAGACGGTCCCCGTTATCTGAGCTGCGACCAACAAGTCCTTATCGGCCACTTAAACGACTCTCTTCTGTGCCTAGACGCCCGACCTGAGCATTGAATTCTCCGGCTAATACTACAATATCTGTCGAACGCACTTTCTGTAGAAGAACAGATAACTGGTGGTAGGATTCATCCTTGATTGCATCCGGGCTGCAATCTGTCGGGACATAGGCGGAGATATCGAAAGGACATCGTTTCTCACGCCGATTTCTCCTCACTTTGACGGAACTTTCTAATCTAACAGCACATAACCGACTGTTAATGGGGATCCAATCGACTCGTGCTGCCTCAGCTCTAGCGCTTAGTGCGACACCAACGCCAGCAAGACCAGACGAAGATGCCACAGGGTCCCCGGATAAGCGCACGTAAAACAATCTTTCTGAAGCGACAGATGGAGAGCGAATTTGTAGTACTTCACCAGAGTCTTGAATACGGGTCTCGGATAGACAGCAGATATCGATATTAAGACTTTCCAAAAACATAGCCAGCTCTATCTGTTGTCTGATCTGCATAAGTGTGCGAACGTTGAAGGCAGCCTGTTTGAATGGTGCACGTGGTTTCAGAAAAACTGCTTCAGTACTCATATTCAGTGGTAACATACAATTTTCAACCTGACAGTGACTCGAGAACGTTTAGATAGAGTCGAATTTCCACCAAAGACGAGCCGCTGTATAAGTATAAAAGAGGGTGACTAATGTGGTAAATAAGAATAATGATAATAATAATAATAATAACCATTTGAATCATTTGATTGTTATTCGAAGCGAGAAAAGCAGTTTCCATAGATATAGAGAGTTCATCATTTGCGTGTGGGCTGCGATACTGCCCGGGTGCTCAGACCGAAGCAGGTTGTTATCTTAGGGGGCCACACCCCGAGCCTTTGACCTAAAGGTCTAACCCACAAGGCAGTGGAGCATCGTAAGGAGATGCAGTCCCATGGTAGCCGGTGACCAACGATTGGTTCATACGCCATTTGTTCCCGCAGGATACTGGAGCCCATGTGCACGATTGGTTTGGGAACCGGTTAAAGCGCCGGACATTCACTTTTCGTCTTCTCATTTTCGTAAACAACACCCCCGTCTCGAGAAGGCAATGAGTAGGACTTCCCTGGCAGAGGCTGTATACGCGCGGCCGTGTGAGAGTATTTCTAGAGGGAGAGCGGACTCTCCCCACTCTCGGCGGTACCAGAGCATTTGGGGGCAAAGTCACTCTGTGTTAATCCGACTATTGGTTGTAAGGACCAATCATAACATGAACCAAACTTTTATCTAAAGATCAATCTGCCAATTTTTTCAACTTCTCTTGTAATCCTGAGGTTGTGTAGTATCTATACTTTCTTACCTGGGAAAGGGAACCAAAGACGTTCCTATCTAATTTTGTCACCTCCAAGTCTTATGGTTAATTCAGAGTGTCTTTAAAGTAATTCTGAACATAGATTTTAGTATTTGTGATGCAATCGGAAATGTTTTCTCAATGTTCTACCTAAAATTGTGATCGTGTGTTTTTAACTAAAACATGGAAACAAATTCATAATTAGTTGGAAACGTACTCAAACTTTCAGTTCCGTCTGATAAACTACGATTATGCGAATGAGAGACTATTCGGACATTCCTCAAAAACAGAGTGTATGAAGCAGTGAATGTGAAATAAAAAATTTATAGTTAGCACTCATACAAGCTAGTT